GGCGGAGCGGACGGAGGCGGTTCCAGGCGGCGGTGAGCGAGCGGGGGACGGCGGGAGGGGACCGAGCACCGGGGGGCACCGGCCGGGGCGGGAGTCCCGAGGGACGGTGGCCATGGTGGGATTGGGGGGACCGTAGGGGGACAGGGCGGCGGGGGACACCGGGTGGGACAGCGGGGGTCACCGGGCAGAGCAGAGAGCCCGGGGAAGGGGTGACCCCGGTGGGTCTGGCAGGAATGGGGGTGGGATGGGGCACAGGGTGGGCTCGGGGCACTGCAGGGCACCGGGCAGGGGCGGGGACGCCGGGGGAGGATGGCCGTGGTGGGATCGGGGTGGGGATGGGGGCACCGAGCGGGGCGGGGTCACCAGGGAAGGATGGCCCTGGTGGGAGCCGGGGAACCACAGGGGAAGAGGGCACCGGCAGGGCAGGGGGGCATGGGGGATGTTGGCCATGGTGGGATTGGCACTGGCACATCACCCCGGCGATGGGGGGGCTGGGGGAAGCCCCCATATGTGTGTCCTGCCCCATGTGAGGACCTGGCATGGGGGGGCACAGGCTGGGCACAGCCCGGGGTAGGGGCTGGGGTGAGGGTGACCCCTCTCGTATCTGTGCCATGTCCAGGGGCTGTGGCTGCAGGGTCCGTCCCAGTTTGGAGCACATGGGTGCCTCGTGGGGTTTAGGGACACTGGAACACCCATAAACAGGAATGCTCCCTCTGCCCTGTACCCCCAGGCCTAAGGGTGGGGAGGGGCTTTCTCCTGCATGTCCGTCCCTCCCGGTGGTGAGTCCGTCTGTCCTCTGTCCACCGCAGGCTCGCCATGGCCCTGCCCCGCACGCTGGGGGAGCTGCAGCTCTACCGGGTGCTGCAGCGTGCCAACCTGCTGGGCTACTACGAGACCTTCATCCAGCAAGGGGGGGACGACGTGCAGCAGCTCTGCGAGGCGGGCGAGGAGGAGTTCCTGGAGATCATGGCGCTGGTGGGCATGGCCACCAAGCCCCTCCACGTCCGCCGCCTCCAGAAGGCCCTGCGCGAGTGGGCCTCCAACCCGGGGCTCTTCAGCCAGCCCGTCTCGGCTGTCCCGGTCAGCAGCATCCCACTCTTCAAGCTCTCTGAGGCCGGCGGGCGCAAGGCGCTCAGCAACGGGCACGCCAGCCCCGGCGAGGCAGCGGGCAAGGGGGGTGGCAGCGCCGGGACGCCCCCAGCCCGCAGCCCCACGGAGCCAGGGGAGAAGCTGTCGCCGTCAGCGGCTCCACCGTGGCCGGGAAGGAGCACCCCCGAGTCGGAGGGTGGAGGGGATGAGGAGCCGGGGGGTCCCCCATTCTCCCCGGGCGGGAGCAGCGGGGAGCAGGCGGTGGGCACGGAGCTGGAGCCGGAGTTGGCACGGACGGTGGTGGAGAGCGTGGAGCGGCTGCTGCAGAGCTGCCCCCGGGGTGGCGAGGCCGAGCTGAGGGCGCTGATGAAGCTCAACAAGAAGCTGGCCAAGGCTGTGGGGCACATCTTCCAGCTGGAGGATGGTGACCGGCAGAAGGAGGAGGAGATCCGCCGGCACAGCGCGATCTACGGCCGCGGCGAGGCCCGGCGCCGCGAGGGCAAGCAGCTCACCCTGCACGAGGTGGGCTCCGTGCTTGGAGTTCCTGGCATGTGCTGGCTTGGGACAGGGACTGGGGTGGCTCTGGGGGTGTGGTGAGTGGGTGGGATTCGAGGTCTCCTCCCACTCGGGTGGCATCTGCCAGCCTGCAGCCGGCGCTGCCTTAGCTGAGGGTTGTGTGGGCGCTGCTGTCCCGTGGGTGCTGCCGTCCCTGTCCCCGCTCACGCATCATCTCTGCCCCCAGCTCATCATCAATGAGGCGGCCGCCCAGTTCTGCCTGCGGGACAACTCGCTGCTGCTGCGGCGCGTCGAGCTCTTCTCGCTGTCACGACAGGTGGCACGGGAGAGCACCTACCTGTCCTCGCTCAAGGTCGCCAGGTGAGCCCAGACCTGGGAAACCCCTCCCTTGTAGGCCTGGGGGGGGCCTGGCTGTCACCCCCTTGCCCCCTGGGAGCTGCAGCATGATCCAGCACTTCTGGATGGGGCCAGGACCCTGCGGCCCCCAGTTCCCCTTTGCCAGCGTGGGTGGTTTCTGCCTGACCTCGGAGCGTGGGACGTGGGGAGGATGGGAATGACGGGGATGCCAGGCGTGGGAAGGGATGCCAGGCAGCAAAGGGATGCCGTTGGGGATGCCCTATCTCTTGCCTCCATCCCCAAAGTCCCCTGCCGACCGTGCCAGGGCTGCCTTTTCCTTTTGTTCTCCAGCTGCTTCCCTGTTGTTCTGCCCCCAATTCCATCCGTGCCAAAACCCCAGCTTCTGGCTTTGCCCTGCCTGGTGGCTCTGCCCGCAGCGTGGGGCCTTGCTGTGGCCACCCCCACGCCTGACACAGCCCCTTTCCACCCCCAGGGCCCATCCCGAGGACAGCGGTGCTGTCGTGGCCAAGCGGCTCAAGCAGGAGGTGGGTGCAGGTGCAGGGGCAGCGTGTGCAGGTGTGCACACCTGTGAGCGTGGGTGTGACGGTGCAACGTGCCCGGGGCTGCCCGTGCCAGCCTGGGGTGACGGCCGTGGGTGTTGTGGGGTGGGTGGTGCAGGGGACCTGCTCACCTGAGTGCTCCTGGCAGGCGGGAGAGCAGAGCCGCCCTGAGCTCCTGGCACTGCCCGTGGGGCTGGAGCCCCCCGGGGCCGGGTACCGAGCCAGCCTGGAGGAGGACACGGGCAGCCTCTCCGGGGAGAGCCTCGACGGCCACTTGCAGGGTGAGTAGGGGTCCCTGTCCTTCTGGGGGGGCTGGTGGTGGCCGGTCCCCATCTCCACGCGCTGATTGTCGCCCCTCTCTCGGCAGCGGCGGGGGCCTGTCCCCGGCTGACCCCTCCGCCCGGTGCGGCCCCGGACGTGCCCCTCGGCCTGGCGCCCCACGGGCTCTGGAGCCGCCACATCCTCCAGCAGACGCTGATGGACGAGGGGCTGCGCCTGGCCCGGCTGGTGTCGCACGAGCGCGTGGGGCGGCTCAGCCCCTGCCTGCCGGGGAAGCCCCCGGGACCAGGTGAGCCCCCTCGGGGCCGGGGGGGCTTTGCCGCGGGCAGGGGTCGGGACGGCACCGCTGCTTTCCTGCTGTAGAATCGTGTCCTGACGCCATCTCCGTGTTCTCCCCACAGAGTTCGAGGATGGGCTGGCGGAACGGGGTCCTCCGGCCCCCCCAGACCCCCCTCGGGGTACAATCAAGGTGGAGCAGGAGACCAGCAGGCAGTGAGGCCCCTGTAGCCCCCCCGCCACCATTAACGAAGCAATAACGTGCTGGGGGACGGGCGCGGCGGCGCTCCGGGCCCGGGGAGCTTGGGGAGGGGTGGGGGGGGTCTCAACCACAGCCCCCCCGGCCCCCTCCCGTCCCACACCGACGCTCTGGTTTACCTCAGCCGCGGCGGGATGCGACTCCCCGCAGCAGCAATACCCTCATCCCGCCCGGCTCCGCTCCCCCGCCGCCCCCCAGGGCTGGGGAGCCCACCAAAACCGTGCCCAGCCCCGGGGTTCCCACCGCTCCCCCCCCACCCCGTTAGGACTGTGTGGTGTCTTTTTAGAGCATTAGCGACTCTTCCTTTGTACCGTGTACAGTAGATTATTTATTTTGTTATTTTGGAATAAAACTTTATTTTATGGCTTATCTTCCTACCCCCTGCTCCAGCCTGGAGGGGGGGGGTGGGGGTGAGGAACAGCTCAAAACCCCAAAGCAAGCGCTGATTGCGGGGGTGCAGGGGGGCCGTGTCCCCCTCCATAGGGGTCCCGGTATCCCCCCCCAGCTGGGGGCACCGGGCTGGCACCTCCGCCCCGGCGCCGTTCGCGCTGCCGCCTCCCGCCCCCGCGGTGACTCATCCCGGCGGCGTGGGCTGGGGGCACCGCGTGCGGCTGCCGGTGCCCCCCACGCAGGACGGGGCCCCTGCGCCTGCACCCCCTCACCCGCGGACCCCCGGCAGCGGCGGGGGCGGCCAGCAATGCACGGAGATGGGGGGGACGGGGGGTTACCCCAAATCCCCCCAACCCCGCCTTTCCCAGCTGGAGTTTCCACTCCTGCAGGAGTCGGATCAAGTCCATGAACCCAGGCAAGGCTGGGAGGGAGTGGAGGGGGGGGTCCCAGTCCGATGTCCCCCGCCACAAGAGCCCCCTCACGCGTGTCCCGGCCGGATGCTGTCATCCCACCGCGCCTCCCCCAGCCCCCAGGAGGACAGGCTGGAATTGGGGTACCCGCTGTGCTGCGGGAGGGGCGCGAAGGGGGGCACCAGGGGCACCCCCAGGAGCTGCTCCAACTCCGAGGCTGATGGTTGATCCATGTTGGGCGACATCCTGGGGACAGAAGCAGCAGGGTGAGCGCAGGGGACTGGGAGGGGCTTCCCCCTGCTGCCCCCTCCCCGTGCTTACCACCGCGGAGGGCTCTGCAGCGGTGCTTCCTCCACGGGCTGGAACGGGGGCAGCTCGGGCATCTCTTCGTCCTGCGGCTCCGCAGAGGGACCCGCAGGCAGCAGCTGCGAGACCTCCCCGGGCATGTACTGGTTGGGCATGAAGGGTCTGGGGTGGCAAAGAATGGAGTAGACCGTGTCCTCCCAGGGCACTCACCAGCCCCAAGGTATTGGAGGGGGCACTGCTTGGTTTGTGGGGCTTCTCCTCCTGCCACTGCAGGTCTGCCAGCCCAGGACTGGAAGGGGGGGAAAGGGGTGCCCCCCTTCTACCTGTGTGCCAGCTCTTACCCGGGAGACCTGAAGGCAGGGTCCTGGCAGTGGGACAGCGAGGGAGGTGAGAGAATCGGTGATGGACTGTGGAGAGCAGGAGCACTCAGAGAGAAGGGAACACCCCTGACCCTGCTGGGGGTGGAGGGGTGTCCAAGCTGCCCCCCACCCTGCCCTGTTCCTACCTGTGGAAGGGGGGAGTGAGCCTGTCGGGTACCATCATGATGTTGCTCTCAACCGTGGGGTAGCCCGTGGGCATGGGCTGGGGGCAGAATGGAGTAGAGGGGCTGCAGTGCACACACAGAGAGGTTCAGATTGAGGGGGGGCACTGCCACAGCCCCCACCCCACGCCCCACAGCGGGGCACTCACCAGATGGGGGGCAGCAGTGGCTGCAGATTCTCAGAGTGCAGCTCGTGCTGCAGCATGGGCAGGTTGAACATTGGTGCCTGGGGGGCCTCGGGGGGGGCCCCCATGGTGCTTGGAGGCTGCTGGTCCCTGCAAAAGCACATGGACCCCATCAGCACTGCCCGGTCCAGGCTCTGAAGGGGGACATGTGCCAGTGGGTGCTCAGGGGGAGGGTGGGAGGTGCACAGACATGACCCAGTGCAGTTTGGGGGTCCATGGGGGGCTCTTTGCTCACCAGCACAGCTCTGTTTTTCTCAGTCAAGGATTTTCCTGCCCAGGGGGATGCTCAGGCTGGCCAGGGGTCTGTGCAAACTCTGGCCCATGTGTACACACCTCCAGCACAGATATGGCCTCACACCCACCTTTCACTTTCCACAGTCATCTTGATGGCAGTGGAGACGTAGCCCCGGCCGTCCTTGCCAGTCTGCTCTTCTGCTCAGGAAGGAGAACCATCCATGAACCACCACCCCCACCATGCCCTGCCAACATCTCTGCCAGCCCCAGCTGCCCCTGCAAGCCCTGAGGCCAGCTGGGTGAGACCCATGACCCCTTGCAGCATTGCTGGGGTGCAGAGGGGCAGCCCAGGGCCCATCCTGGCCCTCTCCACTCACTGTTGTAGTGACTCCCAAACGCCTGGTCCTTGGGGATGTTGGGGTACAGGTTACGGAGCTGCCCCAGGTCCCGGATGCGGTCGCCGAGGGAGCGGATGGACAGATCCTTGGCAGAGAAGGGCTGGATGTTTTCCACCTGGCTGGAGCCTGAGCGAGGGGAGACACGTCACTGCATTCCAGTGCTAGTTCCTGTAACTGCCCACACCCCCTGGCAGTGAGGAACCCCCCCTGCACTGCACCTGACCCCGTCTCACCGTCCTTGCCCCGCATGACGTAGGCGATGGTGACGCCCCCGATCTCGGAGTCGCTGAAGCGCAGCAGGAAGGTCCCGTCCGGCTGCATGCTCAGCAGCTTGCACACATACTGCTTGCTGATGAAGCCCATGATGAGCCTGGAGAGGTGGACAGGTGGGGAACAGGGGTCAGGATCACCCATGGCAGTGCGGTGGGATCAGGACCCCCCCAAAGCCCAGCCCTGGGGCACCCACCTGTCTGACCAGTAACTTTTGAGGCATCTCTTGGTGAGGTCCAGGACTCCATCAAACCACTGCCAGAAGGTGAACCCCCGGCCAGGGAGGATCTCCTGAGGCAGAGAGGGGCCATGAGGCTCCCCATGGCCGCGCTGGCCCCTGCCCACCCTGGCCATCCCTCCCAGTCACCTTGTTGAACTGGGCCCAGGAAACATGGCGGCTCTGGAAGTCCTCGGGGCTGGCGCTGTGGTCATTGAAGATCTTCTGGGCCAGGAAGAAGTAGTGCTCCTTGAGGAGCCCCTTGGTGGTCTGCACCTCTGCCATGAACTTCAGGTTCAGGGTGTCACACATCTTGTCCCAGGGCACCCGCTCGGCCACCACGAAGGGCACCCGGTCCTGGGGGGTCATCAGGACAGGATGCCCACAACGTCCCACCCCTGGGCTCCTGCTCCCACCTGCACTGGTGGGAGTCCAAAGCCCAGTCAGCCCCAGGTTTCAGCTCCTTCCCTCCAGCTCGTGGCACTCACAATGTCAGAGAAGGCATTATCCCACAGCACGGTGGCTTTGGCATTGTTGTCCTGGTTCCCGTGGACGATGACCACAATGGGCAGAGACAGAACCTGGGGGCACAGAGTGGCCCTGAGCCACGCATGGTGGCTGCCCTGGGGACTGCCCCAGCACAGCACACGTGTCCCACAGGAGAAGGCTCAGCACATCCAGCCCCATCCCAGGGTACCTGGAGGTGGATGGAGACGTTGCTGGGGGTCAAGGTGACATTGGTGCTGAACAGGACGGCACATTTCTCCTCTGTCACCGACTCTGAGCCCTTCCGCTCGCAGCGCTTGATCTTCTTCAGCAGCTGGGGAGGGAGAGCTGAGCATCCCCAGCCTCAGGACTGGAGCCCCCAGCCCAGCTCCTAGCTGGTGGCACTTACCACATTTTTGAAGTTGGCGCAGCAGTTCCCGCTGGTGGGGTTGGTCTCCAGGGCCACCGTGTTGTGCAAGATCTCCCCCGTGCTCTCGCTGGGCAGAGGAGGGGGTCAGGGGGGAAACAGCGGTGGGGAAACCCCCCTGCCCCCACACCCACTGCTCACCTGAGGGTGTTGCTGTAGTTGCTGAGCTCCAGCTCCCGTGCCTGCTTCTCTGTCACCATGTCAGCCCTCACCATGTAGGGCTTGGGCGCTGCCTTCAGCAGCTGCGGGCCCAGCAGGAACCGGACACTCGCCTGGAACTTGGTCTGGGTCTTCAGCACCTGTGGGGGCTGCTTCTCCACCAGGAAGGAGCTGAGGGACAAAGGGACACCATGGCACTTGGCACAATGCCCTGCCAGCTCTGCCAGATCCCCTGCAGATCCACCTCAACCCCTGGCCACCACAGCCCCCAGCAGCCTGTTACCTCTTGACCAGGCCGGACAACACCTCCTTGAAGCGCTCCAGGAGCCGGGGAAGCAGCTCAGGCCCCAGCTCTGTGCTCGCTGCCATCACCTGCTGCTGCAGCTGGAAGTAAACCTCGACCAGGTTCTCACACCTGGGGAAAAGGGGGACCCCTCAGCACCCCACGCTCACTCACCCAGAGCCCTTTGGGCTGGCAGAGGGGAGCAGGAGGTTGCTCAGGATTCCCCAGCCCTGCCCTGTGCCCCCTCACCTCTTCTGCAGCGGTGCCAGATTCTCCTCAAAGATGGCCCCATTCCCTGCCAGCTGCTGTTGTCTCTTCCAAATCTGGATCCTCTTCAGGACCTGCTGTTTGGCCGCCTCCAGCTCCTTCACAGCCTCCAGGATGAGGGTGGGCAGTTCCCTGGGAGCCACGGGGCTCTGCACAGCCCCGTCCAGCCCTGAGCCCTCCTCCTGGAGCGCCTGGATCTCCCGGACTCGGTGCTGCAGCCGCTGCAGCCCCAGGCTGAACTTCAGCTCCTCCTGCCGCCGGTGGAAGCTGAGGGGCAGGTGGTGGTGCTGGGGCAGAGCAGAGCGGGGTCAGCGGGGGCTGGGGCCGGTCCTGCACCTCGGGGTGCCCGGGAGGAGGGCAGGGAGCACCCACCCGTTTGAGCACGGCTGCTTTTTCACCCTCCAGGATGGCTCTCACGACAGCCACCAGCCGCAGCGGGTCCCGGCGGAAGGTGTTCTGGGGGGACACAAATGGGGGGTGTCAGGGGGGACTCGACACGTGTCCCCTGCTCCTGGGCCCCCTCCCACCCCAAACGCCTGGACAAGGTAATTCAGGGGTTCCACAACCACCACAGAGCTGATTTGCAGCTTTAAAACCACTTTAAATGGTGCATAGAATTGTGGAATATCTGGAGTTGGAGGGAACATCAGGATCATTGGCCCAAACTCCATTTTTTTTTTTGTATAAAAAGTAGAAGAATGAACTTGAAATAGAGAAAAAAAAATCCAAACTGAAAGGAATTCTCCATTCCTGTGAGCATTTCCCGACACCTGGGGGAGACTCTCCCAGCTGCCCTGGGTGGATCAATGCTTTCCAATGAAAACAGGGAGAGGAATTCCCCTGCTGGCTCTGCCTCCCGTGTCCCCCGTGCCAGCTCCTCCGGCCTTCACGCATTTCCCAAATTAGCTACTTCCCAAAACAGCAGCAGAAACACGATGGGGGAATGGCTGATGACGTGCTTGGTGGGTTCCTGTGCCTGTGGGAGCTTCAGGGTGGGGGTCTGGATGCAGCACTGGCAGCCCTGTGGGCTCTTCCAGGGAAAATGTGGGATTCAGGGGATGAGAGGCTCAGGTTTGGCTCCCACCTGCAACCCCCAGCCCTGTGCTTGCCCATCCTGGGGGCCACCTAGGGACAGCAGCACCAAGAGCGGGGAACAGCCTGGCTGGGCATGGAGGAATGAGGATTTGGTGTTCTGGGATGAGGGATGGAGGGAGGAGGGAACACAGGAGGGCTGCTCTGCGTCAGCATTTTAAATAATAAAAAAATCCCTAAGCTGAAACATCTGCTTGTTTCCTACAGCAAAAAGCAACAGTCTTGTTTTGAAAAGTCACCCTGCTCCCCAGAAGTTGTGACTTAAGCTGATCCCTTCCCAAATGCTGGATATTAAAAAGGTCTGTTACCAAAAAAGCAGTTTTCAACCAGAATGGGGCTCTGGGAGTGAGCCCTGCTCAGCCGTGGTGCTCTGAGCTCTGCTGGCCAGAGGAGATAAATCAGAGGGTTGCGAAAGGGACAGAGCAATTCCAACAGCCTTGATAAGAGAAAGAGCCCCAAAAATGAAACCCAGAGCTCATGGCAGGAGGAAATGCAGACCCACACGGCCTGGAGGAAGGAGAAATCAAACACTCGAGCAGAAAATGGGGAACATCTGCTGAGATGGCCCCCAGGTACCAACAGCTGGGGACGAGTGGGGCTGTGGGGGCTGAGGGGCTCAGGAGGGTCCCCACGGGACCATTTCAGGGAAGATGTGGCAGCTCCCTGCGGGCCACTGGGCTGCAGAACTTGGGACAGCCCTGGGATGCAAACAAACCCCCTCTGTCCCCTGGAAGACCCCAAAAACCCAATTGCTGAGTCTGCTCATTGCTCAAAAGCCTGGAAAAGGGTGTCACACAGGGACCATCCTGAGGTGTTGAGCCCTTCCAGCATAAAATAATCAAGCTTTCCTGGGAGCTGGCTGCAATCCCAGCATAACCCAGCCCCAGGGTTCCTGCACACCTCGATGTTGCTGACTTGCTGCAGGATCTGGCACTGCTGCCCATCGCTGCCGGCAGCGCTGCGGAGTTTATCCAGCATGTCCGAGAGCATCCTGCTGGCCATGCTGCTGCAGAAGGCGTCTGAGCCATTGATGAACTCCCTGGAGAGGGGAAAAGTTGGGAGAATGGGCATGGATCCCCCACCTGCTCCTGTGTGACCCTGCTCCGGGGAGGAAGGCTCCAGGGAGACTCACCAGGGCTGGTTCTCCAGCCACTCAGCCAGGAGACAGCGCAGGCTCCGGGGAAACTCCGTGGAGAGGCTGCTGAACTCCTCTGGCGGCATGTGGGACACGAGGTTCCAGAGGGACATCTTGGAACAGTCACCTGAAGACAGCAGAGGGGATGGGGGTAGGACCACTTGAGCAGCCCCCAGCCAGCCTTTGAGGGCCAAGAGCCCCTCAGGGAAGGGGCAAGAGCTGCTGCTTGTCCCTCCACATCCGAACCTGCTGCTCCACTGGGCTTGGGCTGCTGGGGAGGAGGAGAAGAAGGAGGAGTGGGAATCTTGATCCAGGATCAGTGTCTTGGGCAATCCTGGGCGGGCTGGCAGCCCATTTGTGCCTCAGTTTCCCGCATCTCGGGGATTCCCTGCTCCTTCTGCCACAAGGGCATTCGAAGGGACGGGCAAGTGCTGCTGGATTTGGCATGGGAGAGGCGGAAGAGCGTGGAACTCCCAGGGAGTGGGAAAAGTGTGAACTCCCCCAAACTTGGTGAGGCCGTTCCACTGGGTTGACCCCAGTGAGGTGGCTTGGCTGCCCCCCAGAACTTCCTCAGGTGTCCCCCACAACTGGGGCCCTTCCCCAGCCTCCCCTCACACTCGGTGGTCTCCAGAGACGAGGAAAAGCAAGAACAGAAGCGGAATGAGGCGCTACATAGGGAATTCCACTTGGAATGCCCGGGCTGGAGGCTCACGGCCCCACCGCGCCCCAAGGTGGGCGTTGGAACCCCAACATTCCCAGTCCCCTCAGCACCGCCCGCGCCTCTTCCCGGCAGCTCCCGCCCTTCCTCCCGCCCCGCCGGCCCCGCCGCAGCCCCGCGGGCCAGGGGGGTCCCCACACAGACACACCTCGCTGCCGGTTCCGCCGGCCCCGCCCGGGGCCAAGGCCCGATCCCGCGGCGGATCCCGCAGCGTCTCACGGCCCAGCCGAGGGGCCGGGCAGCGGCGGGACCCCCGGGCGGAGCGGGCCCTCAGGCGAACGGGCGAGCGCGGAGCCGCCTGACGGCCCCAATCCCCCGCGGGCAGCGCGTTCCCCACGGGCCTGGGCCGCGCGGAGCCGCCGAAGGCGCAGGGCGGAGGTGGAGCTGAGAGACTCCGAGAAGCCTGCGAGGGGAAGGAAGCCAGCGTCACTGGGCAACGTCGCGGCCGGAGCAAACAAACGCCTGCGGCCTGCCCCGAGCCCTGCAGCGGGAGCACGCCGGGGTGGCGGCGGTGTGTGGGTTCGGAGCCCTCACGGAGCACCGTGTGCCACCCCAGGAAGGGACCGAGCGTGGTGGCTGGAGGCTGACGCCTTCCAGAAGTGCTTTTGCTTTCGAGTCCACGCTGCCCGGAGCAAACAGATCCCAAGGATTCGCCGCTGGGATGAGGTTGCTCCGAGGGGTCAATGCCCGGTGGGAAACGCACACAGCAATTCTGGGAATGCTGCTGGGCTTTTCCCCACAGTCCCAGTGGGATTCTTGGCAGGAGGGGAAAAACAATCTCTTCTTTTGCCATCCTCGAGGTTAATCCCCATCCTCCTTCCCCATGAAACCTGTATTTCTGCTCAGCCCTGGGAGGCAGCTGCTGGCTGGAAGCGCCAACCTGGAGCGTAAGCCTTAAGCCAGGCATGCCTGGATCTGCTGAGAGTCTGCAGGAGAAGCTGCTCGGCTCCCTCCTCCCACAGCCCAGGAGGAGCTCGAGGCAGGGGATCTGCCTGTCCCCTCCTGGCATCAGTCACAGCAGCTCCTTCAGCCCAGCCGTGCCCTGAATCCTTCCAATCCCAATTTCCAGGTTTCCCTCTTCTTCTCCTTCTGCTTTTCCCACTTCCCTCTTGGGGGCAACACCCCATGGGGAGCCTCCTCCAGGTCACCCCGGGAAGCCGAGGTCACAGCTGTGTTGTGGCTGGGGAAAGCCACACGGGGCAGGACACAGCACCTGGGGAGGGGGAGCAGCCGCCCCCCACCCGCTCCCCCTCCCCAAACCCCCTCCACGCAGCCACTTTCGCTTCCTCCTCCACCCGAAGGCCTTTGCCTACCCGTGGGGCTGGGGGACTCCCGGGCGAGAAGGTGGCTCAGGAGGAGCCCAGGTACGGAGAGGGGGCTCAGGGACCCCCACAGTCTCAGCACGGGCTTTGTGCTCTCACTGCAACAGGAAACCCTGTTCCCAAGCCGGAGCCGCCGTCCCCTTCCCAGTCCCCTTCCCGGTCCCGAGGTGCTGCCGTACATCCCACGGATGTTACTCATTAACCACCAGTCCTTGCTGGCAGCCAACCGCAGCCCCTCACCCTCGGGCGGGCTGTGTCGGGGTGACGGGGGTGGATCCCACCCCGGGCCATGTCCCCGCTGCCCTCTGCGATCTCCCAGCCCTCTGCACCCTCCTCACCCTGCGGGGCACCTCACAGCACGCTCCCTATCCTGCCCGCAGATTCCTCGGGGCTTTCGCACCGACAGATGTTCTGAGGTTTTCCAAATGCTGTGAACACCCGGACTTCTCTCTGACTGCCCTTGCTCCGGGAAGAACCCGAGGAACATTTCTGCCCCTCAGCGTGCCTCAGTTTCCCCGCGGTGCTGAGGACGCCACTGCTGCCAGCCGAGGCTGAGGCCAGAACACAGGACACGGTGGGACACTGGTGACAGTGCCACGAGGAGGACACCCACGTGTTGGGGGGGCTGCCCACTGCTGACCGCTTGGGGCATGAAAGTTCTTCTGGTTCGTAGGAAGAGGAGCGGGGCCTTCCCAGCCGACCCAGCCCAGGATGACTCACGGCTCGGGGAGCCCGGCCTGGATTTGGTGCCGCTCCCGTCCTAGGAACTCGCTGTCAAGGTCCACCGGTGGGACAGGGGAAGGAAGGGGTCTTCCTTTGCCCGAGGCACGCCCCCTCGCCAAACAACGCCCAGCCAGGAGAGCGGGGTGCCAGCAGAGCTGGGTGCCATTCTCTGCCCACACCCAGCGACTGTTCCGGACTTCGGGTCGAGCGTTTCCACCTGGGCGGCCGATGCAGCCTGGGCGCCACCGGTGTCAGAGCCCCTTCCCCATCCCATCCCATCCCCAAACACCCCAGTGAGGGGCTGACAGGGGGACCTCCCTCTGAGAGGCCCCGCTCAGCCTGTCACACGTGGCACTGCCCACCCCGGAACAGGGAGCACCCCTGGACACCCCCCCAGCCGCGGGCAGCCCCCACCCCTGGGATACCCCGCAGAGCCCCGTCCCCCGCCGGCTCCCAGCTCGGTGCCCATGCACGAAGTCGGGGTCGGGAGGTGCCAAGCAGCGGCAGAGTCCCCGGTCCCGTTCGCCGTTACCTGGCGAGAGCAGCCGCGGGCAGGGAGCGGCCGGTCCGGCCGGTCCCCGCGGCCCCTCGTTCACTCCATAGCGGCGGCGGGCGCGGCCGGTCCCCGCGGCGGCCCCGCTCCGCCGGGAAGCGCCGAGCGCAGGAAGGGGGAGGAGACGCGGGAGCAGAGGGATGGGAGGGCACCGGGACCGGGACCAGTCTCGGCAGGATCTGGGATCCCCGGACGTCGCCACTGAGGGGCTGCGGCACCCACCGGCTCCGCGTCCGTCCCGTATCAGCCCCCACCCAGTCGTGACCCCACTCTTGCCCCGTGTCCCCCCATTCCTGTCCCCCATCATGACCACACTTCTACCCCATATCCCACTCGTGACCCCCCATCTGCCCCTTTCCGCCCCCACACACCCACTGCCCGCACCCACGCGTGTCCCACCGTCCCATCGGTGACACCCGCTCCTGACCCTACTCCTGCTCTAATCAGGTCCCTCTTTGCCGCCCTTCCAAGCCCCCCGCCCATCCCCGTGGGTGCCCCCCACCCATTCCCGCACCGGGACCAGCCCGGTTCCGTGGCACCGCTGTTCCCGTGTGCACGGGACCGGACCGTTAGTCCCGTGCTGCACCTTCCCCGCACGGTTTGAACGCCGGCCCCCGTCCTGGGGTCCGAGCCCGTGGCTGATCCCGGGCTGTGCCCGCCTCTGCTGCACCCTCCGGTGCCCAACCGAACACGGGGGCACTGAAAAGGGGTGCTCGTTGCTTGGGGGTACTCGGTGCTTCACGGGGGTACCCGCCGCGCCCCGGGGGTACCTTCGGCCTCTCCGACCCCTGCGCCCACCGGAGCGGCGGGGCAGCACGGGGCACGGCCACCTCGGGGCCGCCAGGGGGCGCTGCCGCACCGCGGTGCCACCGGGGCCAACCGAGGGCTGCGGGGCCGGTGCTGCGGTACCGGGACCGGGGATGCGGTACCGGGGCTGGGGCAGGGCCCCGGGGTCCCCGCGATCCCCCGGCTCCTCCCGCCGTGGCGCCAGCGAACTCTCCGTGCTGCCATTTCCAGTATCAAATGTTCCCGGGGGCCCCGTGAGCGCGGCTGGTCCACTACGCACCGGGACATCCCGGGAGAGCGGACACCCGCCGCTGCTGTTCGGGACTGGGAAGGGGCTTCCCGGCCTTCCCACGCCCCCGTCCAGGACGGTCTCGAGTGGGGAGGGGGCTGCGGAGCGCTGGCCGGGACCTACACGTGGTGGGAGGAATCAGAATCGCACCCGCTCCCCGGGTCCTGTGCGACGTTTGGGGGCTCTGGGGGAATGGGGGGTACAGAGCCGGCCCCCAGAACCCCTCCAGCCCACCGGGTTACACCGCGCTTTTTGCCACCCCGGCGCTTCTGCAGGGGCGGCGTCCCGGCAACATCTGGACCTTCTCCCGAACATCTGGCGCCGCAGCAGCCTGAATCACCCTCCCCCCCCGCAGCTGCCTGACCGGGGTGGGGCGGAGCAGGCGTGTGACATAATTAAAAAAACATATGACATCACGCGGAGGGGTCGCATGGTGCCCGATGACGGCGCCGGCACCGCTGCCCATCTCCCTCCTCGGCCCCGGGCCCTGGCAGGCATGGCCAGCGGATGACGTCACGGCTCTGGCTCTGACGTCACGGTTCCCGGTCAAAGCCGGAGTTGGGTGAGTGATGGCCGGCCTTGCGGATGGTGGGACCCCCATGATGGGGCTCCGCTGTTCTGGACCCCCGATCCTGAGCCCTGCTCCCGTAGCCCCCACAGGGACAGCTGGGGGGACAGCGAGGGTCCTGTGCCCTGGGGGGGTGATGAGGGACCCCCTGCCTTGGGGGGAGACAGTGAGGGTCCCACTGCCTTCGGACATAGCGAGGGTCCTATGCCCTGGGGGTTGACGAGGGACCCTCCTGCCTTGGGGGGACAGTGAGAGTCCCACAATCCTCGGACTCCTGTGCCCTGGGGGCTGATGAGGGACCCCCTGCCTTGGGGGGAGACAGTGAGGGTCCCACTGCCTTCGGACATGGCGAGGGTCCTGTGCCCTGGGGGCTGATGAGGGACCCCCTGCCTTGGGGGGACAGTGAGGGTCACACTATCCCTGGACATGGCAAGGGTCCTGTGCCCCTGGGGGGTGATGAGGAACCCCTGCCTTGGGGGGACAATGGGGGTCCTACTGCCCTTGGACATGGCAAGGGTCCTGTGCCCCTGGGGGGTGACAGGGGACACCTGCCTTGGGGGGACAATGGGGGTCCCACTACCCTTGAACATGACGAGGGTCCTGTGCCCTGGGGGGTGATGAGGAACCCCTGCCTTGGGGGGACAGTGAGTGTCCCACCGCCCTTGTGGGTGCTGATGGTGTTGCTGTCCTGGGAGAATGACGAGGCTCCTGTTGCCTTTGGGATAGTGAAGAGCCCAGCGCCCTGGGGGACAGTGAGGGTCCTGCAGCCCTGACAGGAGCCGAGGGTCCCGCTGCCCCTGAGGATGATGAGGGTCCTGCTGCCTCGTCCGTCTCTGACCCGCAGCCGGTACCGTGTGCCGGTAGAGGGGAGCTGGGCCTCCCCCGCACCGGGGGACCACCGCAACAGGGACGGGATGGGCGCTGGAGCGGCATCGCGGGCCGGGACCGCGTGTGGGCGCGGGACCCGCAGCGCTGTACCTGTACCTGTAACACACCGGCCCCGGTCCCCTGCCGGTACCATACTGACACCGATACCGACACCGGCACCGGACCCCTGCCGGTACCATACTGACACCGATACCGGCACCGGACCCCTGCCGGTACGATACTGACACCGATACCGGCACCGGACCCCTCCTGGACCATACTGACACCGACACTCACACCGCATGTCTGCCCGTACCATACTGACACCGATACCGGCACCGGACCCCTGCCGGTACCACATTGACACCGATACCGACACCGGCACCGCATCCCTGCCTGTACATTATTGACACGGACACCGGACCCCTGCCCGGACCATACCGCGACCAATGCCGGTACCGACACCGGACCCCTGCCCGGACCCTGTCCCTGCCCACACCCACCGGGGGGCGCAGCCCCAGCACCGCACGCGCATGCGCGCCGTGACAAAGCAGAGCGGGCGCAGCCCGGCCCCGCCGCGCCGCGGGGACACCGGAGGGACCGGGGGGCAGCGGGGAGCTGCGGGCCGGACTGGGGAAGCGCGTCCTCCCCGCACCGCTCCGCAGCGCACGGTGCGCCCCCCGCCCCGTCCCCCCCGCAGCCGCGGGGGCCGCTCGCTGGCGCTCCCCGTTTTCTCCTCTTTGCCCGTTCCCGTGGCTCCCACCCGCCCTCCATCCCATTTTCCTCTGGAATCCAAAGTTTTCCCCGCAGCCAAGCAGGAAAGTTGGAGCTCAGCACCGCTGCGGGAACCGGGACTGGAGGTCCCGGTGTCCCGGAGGTGACCGGGTCCGGCGTCCCACCGGTCCCAGGGGTGCCCGTGACAGCCCGGCCTCGCCCCACTCTCCCCCTCTTGCATAACCGGGGCTGCTTCTCCCGGAGCCGCGACGCCCGGCTGCGGAGTTTGGCTGTGACCGGGCCTGGTGGCACTGGGAATGTGTTTATCCAACCACCGGGGCTGTCCGTTCCCCCATCCGTGTGTCCGTTTGTCCATCCTCCCCCCATGGCTCCATCCAGCTCTTTGCCAGCCGCTCGTTCCCAAGCCGT